TTGAGGGAAAAAAAAAAACAAACAGAAATGCGTTAGTTACATAATTAACAAAAGTTGCATTATGTAACAGCAACCAGAGGGGGCCCCGCATATCTCCTACTACAGTACTACTCCTATATACGTAAGTTACGTTATAAAAATTTCAAAAATAAATGTTTATTTTATTTAAGTTTAGTCACTACAAAACGAGGATTCGTAGTTGGAAACTTGGAACCATAAGAACTTGCAAGTTTTTTTTTTTTTTAAATTTACATAAAATAACCTATTTTAAAAAAAAATAGTTAGAATAACTTTATCATTTTTTTTTATTGCTGAAATAACTTATTCTGAATTTTTTTTCTTTCATAATACCAAAATTGTCTTTGACAGACTCTGCCAATATTTCGGCAGAATCTGCGTATTTCTAGATATTGGCATTCTGCCAATACATTGGTAGAGTTTACCAATATTTTCATAGAATCTGCCAATGATTCGGCAGAGTCTGCCAATACCTAGGCAGAGTATGCCAATATCTTAGTGGAGTCTACCAATGTTTCGTTAGAGTCTGCCAATGTTTGGCTATTTTTAGATATTGGCAGAGTCTGCCAATACATCTGTAGAGTCTGCCAATACATCGGTAGAGTCTGCCAATGTTTCGGCAGAGTCTGCCAATACCTCGACAGAGTCTGCCAAGAACAATTTTGGTATTATGAAAGAAAAAAAATCTAGAATAGGTTATTTCAACAATAAAAAAATAGTAAAGTTATTCTAGCTATTTAAAAAAAAAAGATTATTCTAGCTAATCTTTTTTTTTTAATAATAATTACTTTCATTTTCCAAAATTCTTAATCTCTCTCTAAAAACATTATCTTGGTTTTTATTAGAGATAACTTAAAAAATAAGACGTGTGTCTTGCGAACTATCTACTCTAGATTATATAAATCTAATTATGAAGTGAAATCCGTAGAACTCATGACTAAAATATTTTCAATATATTTTCATTATGTATTTAGAAAAATTTACATCATGTTGGTGTTAACGCTATGTTGATATTATCAAAATATATATATTATGATGTCATATGAACAACAATTCAATAAGATATTCTATTATATAAGATTTGACGGTTTTGGTGTGTGCCTTGTTCTTGTCCTCAAAGTCAAAGTGCCTTAAAAGTTTGTGCTTCTCCTAAAAGAGCGATCTTGAGACTAATCACCATGAGAGTGCTTCTGGTTCTCTTGCTTCTATTGGCCTTGACCACATCTTCAAGTAAATCTTTCTTCTTCACTTTTCTGATCAATTCTTCTTTTTCTCTATTGCCTTAAACCAAGCTTTATTATGTAAAGGAATGATTTTTTTTGTCTCAGTACTACTAACATATTCATTCTTCCTGCTCGTTAAAAAGGGTACACAACAGAATTTGAGATTTCTTG